TCTACAAGCCGGAAAAAAGCGGCAGCCATGTTAATGCAAATGCCGCAGGGGATATTTAAATCCCCTACGGATTTGCCTATTCCAAAGTGCTACATTTGCATCCCTATTACAGAATAGGGGTCAATGTAGACACAGCCAAGGAGTTGTTGGCCTATCTCCTTTCCTTGTTTTGCCCCTAACTCCAGCCTGTGCCAGTCAAACAATAGAGCCAGGATTACCCTACTAGGAGGGTATCAAACCTACAACCTCGGTAGTAATAGCACTGCAGGTTAACCAGTTGAGCTAAACAAGCTGGGAGGAACAGGCATCTCATGGCTCTTTTGGAAAAGAGCCACAGCTGCTGAGAGATCTTTGTGGCCTCTGACATGACATGAGCAGGGTAGGGCTAGTCTCCTCTCAGGGAAACTTGCTCGAATGCTAATACTCTTGCTTTTTTATGCAAAATTAATGTAGCTCCTGCTCATTATGAGGACTTGTAAAGTGGTCACCATGAATCCTTCCTCCTTTATTTGCTCCCCCTGGCTATAGCAATCAGACAAGAGAGAAAGTTCTCTTCCTCGGTGCAAATTAAAGGAGCAGGCAAGGGAATTGAACTCACAGCCACAAGGGTTTGGTTTTGAGTAAGTCTGCATGGATCACTATGGCAAGACTGGAGGTGACGAGGAGCCATAACAGGATCAGTGAGGGTGAATCTGGGACTAACTTGGTCAGGCAGGGGAAATGTGGAGGCAGCCAGGGGGTCACACAGATTGGGGAAGGCAAGGCAAGGGGGTTCACAAAGGGATCACTATTAATAAATGTATGTGTGAGAGGGAGGTTAGGAGGTCATATGGGAGGTCAACAAAGGCAATGCATGAGCCAGGACAGTCACATGCAGTCACAGAGAGCAAAGCTAGAGGTAGTGGAACCAAGCAGGTCAATCAGGAAAAATGTGGAGCAAATCAAGGTCACTGAGAGCATTTCTGCAGGCAGTGGGGTAATGTAGAGTCAAGAAGAACAAGGCTAGAGTGTGGGGTCATGCCAGGCTCCCTGCTTAGGGCAACACTTAGCCTTATTGGCCCCTGCACCAGCTACACAGATGCAAATATTTCACCTCATTGTGTCACGTCCCCCCCATGATAAGCAGAGTGATACTGTGCTGTCATTGCTTCCAAATGTACCCTCACTGTCCCCTGCATGAGCCAGTCATCTCCAGCCTTTCAATTCATGACGTCCACAGCCTACAAAATCGATACATTAGCTCCATTGTGATTCTAGCTTCAGAGAAGATTTTCCTGACTGGCCCTGACTGGCCCCACAGCTTCAAGAATTGCTCTTTAGCAATTCACTTGACTCCAATTTCTCCCTATGCCCTTAACGTGATGCAGATTGCATCTAAATAGCACCTTATTGACCCTTACCACATTGCTTCTAGACTAGCAATTTATGACCTCAGCAGACCCATTACTTTGTATTTGCAATCCATGACACCAGATGCCTCCATATTTATCCTCATTATTCCTTACAGGAACGCAGAGGTTGGAGCCTCGCAGTGCATGGCCACAGTGGCTTCAGATTCCCCATATCCTCCAGTCATACAATACATGGCCTTACATGAACCCACATCATTAAAACTGGGTTAAATTTTCTCCTCTGTGCATCCAACTGCAGTCTAGTCATCCCTGAGTGATACCCCCCCCATTTCATGTCCTCATTTGAACCCATTAGCTTGATATGCCCCATCACTGACCCCGAGTGCCGCCTATTCTATCCTCATTTAACCTTACAGAAACCCAGAGATTTCAGCTTTACTCTTCATGACCCCGTGTAACCCCAGTGGCCTCAGATGCCCTCTCATTGACCTCGCTGAAGCTCTAATTTCCTGCAAATTACTTCGCATTGACCCCGGATGACCCCCATATCCTCCAGTTATACAATACATGGCCTTACACGACCCCACATCATTCAAAATGGGCTAAATTTGCTCCTCTGTGCGACTCACTGGAGCCTGGCTTTCCCTGATTGACCCCTGCATGACCCCAATCTTCCACTCCATGACCTCGTTTGACCCCATTAACTTGATATGCCCCATCACTGACCTCTCTGTGACCCCGAGTGCCTCCTACTCTATCCTCATTTAATCTTACAGGCACCCAGAGATTTCAGTTTTAGTCTGCATGACCCCGTGTAACCCCAGTGGCCTCAGATGAGCTCGCTGAAGCTCTAATTACCTGCAAATTATTTCGCATTGACCCTGGGTGACCCCATATTCTCCAGTTATACAATACATGGCCTTACACGACCCCACATCATTCAAAATGGGCAAAGTTTTCTCCTCTGAAGGTCTAATTGCCTGCAAATTATTTCGCATTGACCCGGGGTGACCCCATATCCTCCAGTTACACAATATGTGGCCTTACACGACCCCACATCATTCAAAATGGGCAAAATTTTCTCCTCTGTGCAACTAACTGCAGCCTGGTTTTCCCTGATTGACCCCTGCATGACCACAGTCTTCTACTCCATGACCTCATTTGACCCCATTATCTTGATATGCTTCATCACTGACCTCTCTGTGACCCCGAGTGCCTCCTAATCTATCCTCATTTAACCTTACAGGAACCCAGAGATTTCAGCTTTACTCTGCATGACCCCACGTAACCCCAGTGGCCTTAAATGCCCTTCCATTGACCTCTCTGAAGCTCTAATTGCCTGCAAATTACTTCGCATTGACCCCGGGTGACCCCATAGCCTCCAGTTATACAATACATGGCCTTACACGACCCCACATCATTCAAAATGGGCAAAGTTTTCTCCTCTGTGCAACTAACTGCAGCCTGGTTTTCCCTGATTGACCCCTGCATGACCACAGTCTTCTACTCCATGACCTCATTTGACCCCATTATCTTGATATGCTTCATCACTGACCTCTCTGTGACCCCGAGTACCTCCTAATCTATCCTCATTTAACTTTATAGAATCCCAGAGATTGTAGCTTTACTCTGCATGACCCCACGTAACCCCAGTGGCCTTAAATGCCCTTCCATTGACCTCTCTGAAGCTCTAATTGCCTGCAAATTACTTTGCATTGACCCCGGGTGACCCCATAGCCTCCAGTTATACAATACATGGCCTTACACGACCCCACCTCATTCAAAATGGGCTAAATTTTCTACTTTGGGCAACTAACTGCAGCCTAGTTT